TATATAAATCTCGTTTATGTTACAGATTTTGGAGAGTCGATAGATGATACTGACGAAACTATTCGAATTAAGTACCGCTAATTACGTACATAGGTTTTGTTTTATACATAACAACTGGCAATAATACATAGGACGCTTATTTTATTGTATCATAGTGAAGTATGCGATTATTTCTATACTGGTTGAAATGAAAATTGTACCATGGTATTTTTCTAGAGCCCAGTTCATGTACGCACATTGAGTAAAACTGCCCGCATCGTAAATGAAACACGGGCGATCTATTAAATTAAAATATGTTTCACTTTATTATATCACACATCCATGCATACAAATGACTTTGTTTAACAGAATCGGTAGCATTCACAAGTATCGGTATCTACTACGGCTAGACAGGTTGCACGATTGAAGAGTCTACAAAATACATATCTACATGTTGCTCGTGAAATTCTGTACTGAATCAATTCCGTTGCGATTAATTTTAGATTTAAAATAATACAAAAGTATGCAATACTTCCATACTATCTTCTTCTTTTCTAAACGTGTAAAAAACGCAGAATCTTCGGATCGTTCCGTTCGCGTTTTTCTTGTCGGGGGGAGAAAAAGAAACAACTCCTTCGTACTTTTGCGATGACAATGCATACTGCACGACATGCTCGTGTAACGTATAATTTCAACATCTCCAGTCAGTGCATCGTCGTCGTCAGTTGCCAATATTGTAACAATCTTTCACCCTTCGGTAACATCATCGAGTTAGGTCTCTCGAACGTCAACATAATATCTTTCACCTTGTTCTTTAATTCACTGTCGAATAAATGTCCTCCTGTACGTTCCAACGCCGATGCCATGTCGTATTCTACCGAAGGGAGGGGTTCACGAATAAAACGGGCGGTGCTAGCAATACTCGGCATTATGTGCCATTGTAAGGCCTTGATCTCCCAAAGGCTACTGAGGAGAGCATTGCTCGACAAAGGGTCTCGTTCTTCCATTAAGAACGGGTCCCCGGCACCGTTATTTTGCTCCGTCTCTCCTCCTTGCGGACGATCAATGAGACGTTTCAGGCCCGGATGCCTGAGCAGGAGGTTTCCAACGAAAAGCAAGATGATAAGAATATCTTCGGGCGGTGCTACGAGGGTCAAACGTGCGAGCCTTTTTGCAAAAGCCGCAACTAACGCTTCCGGTAAGTGCCTGAGAAGAAGAACAATTGAAAGTAACACGTTTGATTTGGCGGACGAACCGCGGAGATAATGCACGCTTATTTGAAATTACTTGAAGCACTTACGTTGAACTGAGGAAAAGATCGGACAAATAAAACAAGCGTGGTTTGTACTTTGTGTGAAATATTTCTGGTTCAAACATAGAATAAAGTTTGGTAAAGATATTAGGATATTCCAGGTTGTGTTTAGTAACTAGTAAAAACACACCCTGTAATGCGAGTAAGCCGATCGGCCCATCAGCATCCAAGGAATCCATAAGAAAATCTGTTAGTAAAACGGGCTTTTCTAAGTGCGGCATAACTCTTTCTAAAAGAACTATTAACAGTTTTTTGTGCGACTGCGGCGTCAATTCCCAATGCATGACGCAAGCCCAGACTTTATTCAATGCGCGTCTCGCTCCAGCTTGATCCCATACAAAACTTTTGGTAGCTAACAGGAGAGAAGAGTCAAACATATAAGAAACGAATACGAGTCGGTTCTATTGTTCGTTGAAGATTTCGAATTGAAAGACGGAAATTCTTACCTTGATGCGGCTTACACAATAAATTCTTATTCTCAGACATTTTACTTTCTGGAACAATTCATCAAAATTCGACATTAGACGTTGATCATTGAAAGTCAGCATTACGTTCAGTCGTCTCTTCGATCTGTACCTTCGATTTCCTTTGGCAGTGACAATTTGTGTATGAGTTCGAGCAGATTCTGAATATAAATTTCGTGCGGTTGTCTCTTCGGGGTAAGGGATGGAAGACATTTCCACGTATAATAAAGAGCGTCGGGGTACTCTGTAACCTCTTGAAATCTAGATATTAAATTAGTATTGTCCTCCTCCGGCGACAGCAGCTTCATCAACATAGGTTTTAATCGATGAAGAGGAAAATAGTATCCCACATTCCCGATCGGTTCCAACGGATTTCTACCTTCTTCGGCCATAAGCTTTATGGCGGTAGTCAGGGCTTGCTGTTTCACGGCAGGTCTGTACTTCTCCATCGAATCCAATATTTTCTCCCACACCTCCTCGTAACAGTTTCTCAACCACTCGATGTATCTCGCTTCGGGGCTTGGCTCTGTTTCAGAAATCTTATGGAAAAGCTGTTTCACGTGTCTTGGGGGGGGGGGGGGAGGGTTTTACAAAATAAAGGGGCAATTCAGTCTCGTCTTTACGCTGAAACTTTGTGCCCGGAAATGGTTTTCACAAAGTGCAACGTAAGAATGTGCAATTTCCATGCATAGGCTACTCGGAGCAGTCATACGTGCATCGAGAGGTATCGCCGAATAATAGAAGATGTAGAATTATACGAACATACCTGAAATGGTAAGGGATATCGTACGTTCTAAATACATGTCGCCTCTCCTTAGAACCTCGACGAATATCGTTTCTATCGTGAGAAGGCAGGACAAGGTAGATTCCTGGTGAAGAATTTCAGTAAATGAGTAACCTTTGAAGCTCGACGTATCCGTATCGGTTTTAAATGATCCTCGGACTCGTACTTACGTCCCACTGAGAAATTATATCTACTAAATTGTTCGCGTGTTTCCTAGACGTTAGAAATTCCTGTGCCTTTTGTCTTAAAAGTTTCGACGACATTTTTTGGCTGGGTGAAGCGCCGGGAAGATCTATCGCGTCCGCCATTGTCGTATGGTCGTACACGAATTCGGCAATGGCACGAGATTGTTGTAAGGTCTGTCGAGAATACGCGAACGTATCTCGTATTCGTTGCGTCCTTACTTTCCTCCGAAACCACCTTGTTCCGTAGACGTGTACTGCAGAGTCGGTCAGTGCAAGAGCGCGAGTTAAGTGTTTCTGTTTCTATCGGTTTTGAAGAAGATCGATAAGGATACTCCGTCAAGTCAATATCATCGTCCGTATCATTTGCATTGTTTGTATCTTCAGTTTTGTAACCCTGGTTATCGATATACGTGCGAAGTTGTGTTAGAATTTGGGAATTCGTTAGCTGCGAACGAGTATATCAATATTCAGTTTCACGAGCGTTCACGAGCAAAGACGCGCCGACACGCAGCCACAGCCACTGCAGCCAGTAGTAAAATTTCCGTTATCCGTCTATCGTTCTATCGACGTTAATATACATTGTGAGTACGCGTACCTATTTTCTGCTCTTCAAGTTTTCGTTCGACAGATTTTTCAATCTATTATCCGGTTCGTCACGGTCTTCAATCGATTAAGTATAATATCTTACAACCTGCGAACATTTTATTACAAATATCAATTGAACTGTAGTTAAACGCATACACTGCGTTTGTGTGTAAAATCATTAATTTGATGTTTTGATCACGTTAGAAGATGCTCGAAATAACATGTAACGATCGTCTTGGGAAAAAAGTACGAGTCAAGTGTAATCCGGACGATACGATAGGGGATTTGAAAAAATTGATAGCAGCCCAGACCGGGACGCATTGGGAAAAGATTGTCCTGAAAAAGTGGTATACTATCTTTAAGGATCACATAAAACTGCAAGACTGTATCCTTTCAAACGAAATATATTTTTACGCCGAACGACATATTTATGATATATCGATACAGCTTTTTCACTTGACTCGACGATCCAGATGAAATTCACGATGGGATGAATTTAGAACTTTATTACCAATAATTGCTGATAAGCGATCTTAGATCAGTTACAATCCTAAACATACTTAAACACTACGACAACGATAACAGCAGTAAGTGTTTCTTGATTTTCTATTTTGTATGATGTTTAAATACACGATGTACATAACAGGCGTTCAATAAACAATTGTAAATGGCAACAGCGAGAAAACAATCTTAGTTTAAATTATTGCTACTAGCTTACGTTCACAATGACTGAGCTCACCGTTTAATATTGCTATTCATTGACTAGGTGTCTTGTTGCAATTTGATACATTACTTTTTACAAATTCAATCCTCGGAAATATATTTCTCTTTACATACGTATTATTAAATATAACACTTTGTACCAATGCCTTTGTGACATCAATACGAGAGGTACTCTTCGATAGTTTCAAGTTTCTATGTACGCACAGAAGTAATAAGTAGACGGCGGATTTTTATGCGAAACAGATAGGAGTCAGTTAAGAAAATTAATTCGAACTGCAGTTCTCTTTAAACTTAAATCATTGCACCGTGCGTTTGCTATTTCTGTTTTGCACGATCTTTATCCGTCACTCGCCAGACTCGATCGTTTCGTAAATGCATTAAATCCGCGGTCTAGCAATGAGTATAATACTAAAAACAGAAATTAAGTTACATCACTTTAGGTACGTATAATGTAGTATAAAACTTACACGTTAAAAAACGAATGTGAGTATTGAAGAAAGTAACGAAAAGGAGAATGTCATAACTGAACTTATTCGTCGATGTTTAAAACTATATAAATTAATGTGGCCTAGATAATTTTTCTGTCCTGTTTACTGATAACTCAGGGTGCATTGTAACTCTACCTCTGTTGCTTAAGATGTCTCTTATATGTTGTACTATCAAATCTATCGCCACTGTAACAAAATAATACATTATATAGAAACGATCAGAGGTAAATTAAATATCGACGCGAATTCCGGTCTGTTTTATTATTACACTACTTATACAGTCTAAACAAATAGTATGCCAAATCGTACATAAGTTAAATTATAATTGTCCCGTGACACGACTCAATCGGGATCGCAATGGTTTGAGCGTTTAAAAAACGAGCATCACCGAAACGGATTAGCACCACACGGAATAATATATAATTAAATATTCTCGAACATGGCAGTATAGAAATAATGCACTGATTTCAATTAACGGTATCACATTTCGAAGAATTATGCGAACATTTTATGCTCCATGCTCTCGCTTAAATCGTTCGTTTCTTTCCCAACAAAATTTCATTTGAACAAAGTTTGTTGTTGCAATGAGGCGTAAAACATTGAATCGATCTAGAAGTAACATCGATGTATAAAAATCTAAAGTGAAAACATGCGTAATTCCGTTTAGATAAATAATAATGAATATGGATTTTTATAAATGACTATTTCTGGCTTCATTTTCATTGTAAATCAATGTATATATGTATAAATTTGAATTATTATGCAGTATTATTGGAATTATAGTATTCGGACAAACTACTCTGTATAATCATACACTATGTCCGATTCTTAGGAACAATGAAAAATGAATTATACCCGGTGAGGGGCTTGATGCCGATGCACGCAGAAGCAGTATGTTTTTGCCTGCTTATCGTTACGTATAAACGTTGTACAAATACAGTTGTATAAGTATAGAGAATAGACATGTCGTGTACTTAGAAAAAGAAAAAAGGGTTTTTTTTAAGGTTACTCGGTTCTATGTCAGTGTACGTTATATAAAAACACGGTGCTTATAAGCGAACGACTATCATGCTAAAATCATCTGCTGAGCATGTCGGATGATGTCGAGGAACGCCTATGTTGATGGGTGTATGGATGCTGCCCGGATGAGTTTTCAGCCTTTTTCAAACGCAAAATGTCCCAGATGTGGTGCACTATAAGGTCTATTGCCACTGCAAACATACAACAACCAAACCATGTACGTTTTTATATGACCTTCGTCTTGCACTAACTTAAAAGACAGCTTTTCACAGACTTTACATACCAGGCAGCACCCATGATCGCTATGTAGTATACACGTTTAATTATGAAGGACACAATTTTAAGCTGCCTTATCATTCCAAATCTGCACCTAAGCCCCGCCGGGACGTACGCGACATTTCAACGACAGCCGGAACGAACCGTTCTTGCGACTATTTCTATTACTAATTAGGTGCAGACTTGAGACGAATGAATCCTAGTTACGATGCAATGTGAATTAATTATTATGATCGAATCAACAGTGCCCGTTATACGTTCGATATAAAACGGTATCAAAATCTAATTAATTCACGTGTCGGTAAATTGTGTATAACTGCTGTATGCACAGTAATCCTATGATTTACCTGTATTGTCGGCACCCCTTGGTATAATGACGTCAGCGAATTTCTTAGTAGGAAGACAGAATTCTTCGAAGGCAGGCTTTACAAAATTCATGTACTGATTCAGCACATAATCTAAATCCCTCCCTCTCTCTTTTATGTCTCTCGGTACTGTAAAAACAATGGTATATAGAAAACGGAAAGGGGAAATTAACAGTGCTCGACAAATACCTCTTCTAGCTAGTCTTGTGTCCGAGTCTGTGTCGACGAACAGTTTCATATGAAACAGATCGCGTATTTTGGGAAAATAAAATACTAAAATGCCTTCGAACAAAACTACGTCGGCAGGATAAATTGTCGTGACCTGGTCTTTCATCCTGCAATTCCCAACGACGACATTAGATGCATAATTGTGAAGCGTCGAATGGATCGCAATAGTGGTAAATACTCACAGACTGTTTGTCCTGTAATCATAGGCTGGTATCTCGCATTTCACTCCGGCTAGTATGTCTTGCAACGTTTGAAGTATCTTGTCATTGTCGAACGCGTCGGGATGATCGAAATTATATTGACCTCTCTCCGCCTTCAGTTTCTCGGCCGGTGTTAAGTCCCGGTAAAAACTGTCTTGCGAAATACAAACTACTTGCCGCTGCATGTGATCCATGTCTACTTGTCCCAGTTTCTCCATTATGCGTTTACATACCGTCGACTGAAACGTTGAACAAAATACTTAAATTTCGATTGAACGATTCGTGTAGCCGGGTGAAGATTACAAATGCATCTTGTACAGAACGATGAACATAGAATCGAAGTAAAACGAAAGCCGGGGAAGGGTCACCTGCTACTCACCTTCCCGCTGGCGGTACCACCCGAGACACCGATCAAGAAAGGTGTCTTGCTGTCCAAACCGTTCAACTTTCCACTGATACCGAAAGACATTTTCCGCGGGGTAACAATGTTCATCGACATGTCTGCCATTGTCGAACGTTTGTACGAATTTGTCGAGGTGACACGAGGCGAACGAACACCGACTTTGAGGGACGATGCCGCGAGCTCAATTTTACGTACGACACGATTGATTCCAGCAGCAGGTTTGCCGATAGAAATGCAGACACGTAAATTACTGTAAATCATTAGACGTAAACGCGTGCGCGTACTCGCCGACGATATTTATGGAACACGCTGACACTTACTCTCCACAGCGCCGTGCGTCGAGGAATAGCGAAAACGTTTGCCAACGCTTGTTCACGCCGGCGGCAGCGGGATTCAGCGGCGGGATATCGCACGCACGAGATGCAAGGTCGAAGTTTTTTACAGCTCCATGCACGCCGCATCCACCGTTTTTCTACTTTTCTTGCAACGTGTGCGAACGTTTATATAATAAAAGATAGCCCAGTTTTGTTGTACAGCAGGAAAATGTCGAATACGTCTGTGAAACGATGCGTTCACACGACGGACAGATACGAGGTAACATCGTATGTTTATTGGGGTTCAAAGTTCATAGATTTTTTGTATGATCATGGAAAGAGCACTCGATAAGATTTCCTGTTATAACGATCTCTATAAGGTATAAGGATTATTGGGTCACGCGTTAAACGGATAAATTGAATACATTTGTACTTATATTTTTTTGCAGACTGCCGTGAAAACGTTGTATAAATTACTGTCTAATAGGGATTATTTAAACTCGGCAACGAAAGACAAGTCTCAAGCACGTAGTCCGCTTAAATTCCTCGATACGGTAAAATATTTAGTAAGGTAAAAATTTCTTGTACACTGATATTGTTCGTTGGACATGGAAATGATCTGGTGCATGTGTCGTTCGTAGGTCTGGTGTTACACTCGAAAGATTAGATTCATTGTCAGTCATACACGTGGCAGGTACGAAAGGGAAAGGTTCCACTTGTGCTTATACAGAGTCTATCTTACGTGAACATAACTTTAAGACTGGATTCTTTAGTTCTCCGCATTTGGTCACTGTAAGGGAACGCATAAGAATAAATGGACGTCCAATAAGTGAGTCGCTTTTCGCTGAATATTTCTGGAAAGTATACAGAAAGCTAGAGGATGCAAAGGAACACGAATGCGATATGCCTATGTATTTTAAATTCCTCACGATTCTCATGTTCAACATTTTCTTGGACGAGAACGTCGACGTCGCTATAATCGAGGTCGGGATCGGTGGTTTATACGACAGTACGAATGTAGTAAGAAACCCTGTATGCGTAGGTATAACTAGTTTGGCACTGGAACATACCAATTTACTAGGCGATACTATCGAAGACATAGCTTACCAGAAATCAGGCATTTTTAAACCCGGGACCGTCGCATTCTCCGTTCCGCAGTCGCCGCAAGCAATGCGCGTATTAGAAAGACGAGCGATCGAACTAAAATGTAAATTACACGTCGTTCCGCGGTTCGACGAGTATAAATGGGAGAATCTTACGCCCGTTCACGAAGTGAGAAATATGACGAGGCAACAGAACGCGTCTTTGGCTATTCAGATAGCTACCGAATGGATATCGTCCAACAGAAATAAATTTTCGACCGTAGCACGTAACGTTGTGAACGACGGTTCTTACGATACGGTTACGAACTCTCAAGTAACTGTGTCCACGGACAAGATCGCGATAGGATTAGCTGGCTGTAAATGGCCAGGTCGGATGCAATACATGAGAAGTAGCCTCGGGAATTTTTTCTTAGACGGTGCGCACACGATCGAAAGTATGAAATGTTGCATTTCTTGGTTCACTGATCTTAGCGGTAAAAATGGGAGAAGACTGTTAATCTTCAATACGTCTGGCACCCGAGACCCGACTATTCTATTGTCGCTGTTAAAGCCTCTACGTTTTCACAAGGCGTATTTCGTGCCTAACTTTGCTGGGATTCAAAGTTTAGACGACGACATGAATTACGTCGCGTCGGATGAACAAATAGTGAAATGCGAAGTGAACGCGAGAGTATGGGGTACGAATTCTGTCGTCGCGCGCGACGTTCTTCAAGTTTTCCAGTATATAAAAAACGGAACAGAGTCGGAGAGTAGTTACGAGAACGGTGAAAGGTATCAGATACTCGTCACGGGGTCGCTACATTTGATAGGCGCGGTCCTTGCCGTTTTAGATCCGCATTTGTCGATGAAAACGCAATACTAACGAAAGATCGCGTGGTACGTTCGTGTAACTTACAACGAGAGCATTTTTTATACAAACAATAGAATCGTATATTTAGTAACTGTAATAACAACCGTATCGGTTTCTAACAATACAGTGATCAGATACTTAGCGTCGTCTCGAAGACAATACCGAAGTGTAGATACATCTTCATAAACAATTTGTACTTCAGTATAAATATATTTTTCCATAAAACTAGTTGTTATAATAATTTGTACATGACAAGTGAGTTACACGACTGTTGTCACGTATCCGTGCGAGCACCGGAAACATGTGATGTTAAAATAAGAATGAAACGAAACGTTTAAAACATTTTGCTATGATAATCTAGCTCTGATTCTGCTTCCGTGTCAGATAAACTCAAAGAAACGCCAGTTCTCCGTCGTAGACGACTTTCATCGGGACTCTGAAACGCATAAAAATATACTTTTGTTTTGCACTTTACTAGAACGAGAAACATTTCGTGTTCGTCTCATTGAACGAACGGCGTCCGTCGAGCGAATGAAAGTGCCATCGTTCAAATTGGAGGTATGCGAGCAATTGAGAGTAGAATCGAAAGTAAATGTAAAATAAATAACAATACCTGATCAAGAATACCGGCAGTGGGTTCAGAGGCATAACCTACTTCTTGTGCGTCTTCTTCCAAGTCTGCTTCGTACTCCTCCATCTCATCCGTGTCGGAATCGATCTCCAGGTCAACGTATCTGTTCCCGCTAGAGACTTTGCACACCATCTGCGCCAAATCCGTGAACGTGTACGAGGGCACGGTCTGTTGATTCGCAGCCTGGTGCTTGGCCCGCAACGCGCGAGCATTCTCTCTGTCAGCATTGAAACGCGGCAACACTCCGGCTTTCAATTGCCCCTCGAAATAAGTCTTCCCTGGAATCAGTACCGGGTTCAACGGTCTATGCACAGTCAGAGAGTTCGAATCATAAATAAAGATCGACTTGCCATGCTGATATCCGACGTCCTTGATCTCATCGAAATTAGTGAATTGAAGAGTTTTATATTTATCGATCGGTGGCCTGATGTACTCGCAGTAATCTGAATTCTTCACTTCCTCCAACTGTCGTACGCAACTTACGTACGCCAGCCTGGATTGTATGTCCGGTAAATTTGGAACTTTGACGGGAGTCGCGAACGGATTCCATCGTTTCCACAGTAACCACCAGCCGGACAATGAATCTCCATAATTCGTTAAATCCGTGTCGTCTTGCGACCCGACGTCGATGGCCAAGATGTGATGCGCTCCTTGCCTCAACATTTCGTCAGCTTAAACAAACAGATCGTACAGCCGTATACGTTGAATGTTATTCGTGGCAAACGAAACAACGTTTCTATGAGAAAAATAAACAGTACAGGTTTAAGGTACCTGGAACGTTATTAACATAACACCCATCGACCAAAAGATGCCCGTCAAGAGGGTCGCAAATAGGAGGAAAGACCCCCGCAATGGTCATACTGGCTCGAATGTATCTCCATAGCAAACCTGAGTTCACTTAGCTATTCAGAATTTGACAAATGCATCTTTCATCAACGGGAGTGAGCTTTACAATGCGCTTGTTGACAAATCTTGTATCAGTGAACGTTCTCGTCCGCTGATACGACATTGTTTCTCGAGTGATTTGATAAAATTAAAGAAAAAAAGATTACAATACGGACGATACTTCGATTCGAGAGCGTTCGTGCGTTCGACTCGAAGTACTTTTCATAGAACCACGCGTGACACACAATCAGACGCACTTGTTTTAACGTGACGCTCAAGTTACCTGGAAGGTTATTGACGTACCCGCCGTCGAGCAGGAGATGGCCATCGACCGGGTCACACATGGGTGGCATATAACCAGACAAAGACATCGAAGCTCGAATGTACCGCCACAGCGATCCTAAACACGACGAATTAAGTCTTTAAATATACATCTATCTCGTAAATTTCGTACGCTTTATTTCCTCGCTATACTTCTTTACAAGTGCACGATGTACGTTACGTTTCCGAAGGGGAAATTGTATGTACGGTGAACGATACGAAACGGAGAGTACGTCATTACCCAGGAAGCTCACTCCCGCTGTTCGAAAGCTTTCGCGCATACTCTCTCTCTCTACATACATGCTCATTTGAATTAGAGTAAAAAAGTAAAAATATATTTTTGAACTAGAAACGTGTCTATAAGTTCTACAAGTTTCACCAAAACAGCGAGAGAGTTTCCAGTTAATTAACTAGCTCGACTTTGTACCTTACGCAGAATTTGATCAAAGAGAAACTGGAAACTGTCAATGCTTCGATAAGTATTGTATTTTTTCCTTTGTATACAGACCGTGTGTATGCGTACGCATACAAGAATCGGTGATGTCTGTAGTTATCGTGAAGTACGGTAACCACAAGTCTTCTATGTACGTCTCTCCAAACGTTGCGAGAATCGTGTTATTGAAATCTTTTCCCGAGAACATCGAAGTCACTGGATACGTTAAGTCCATTATTTGCCTCCACCATTGGGTCATTTTCTGTCCGGGAAAATACATGAATGACGGTAACGTAGCAAACCACGGTGTCGATTGAAATATTTACTTTGGACCATTCGCGAGCTTTCTGCGTCGTAGTCGTTATATTTTTCTCCATACACCACAAAGCGCCCATAAATGCTCCGATGCTAACTCCACCGACCATGTCTATAGGAATACCAGCCTCCATAATCGCCTTGAGCATACCCACGTGGGCTGCTCCCCTAGCTCCTCCACCTCCAAGTACAAGTCCGACCGAGGTGCCGGTCAACCAACGAGCAAGCCTGCTGAAGTCGCTGTGCACGTTTGGCTCGGACATCAAGACTTTGGAATACAACTCGTTCTGTAAAACAAGGGATCACGCTCTTAACGTGTTCTCGTTCAACGAGGGAACTTCCGGGATCTTACAATTCTATACTGAGATCTCCTCGTAAACATCCGTTTCGGGCATTGAATATGATGATGACTAGAAACCCAAGATCTCATGTTCAGCCACTGTACAGTGTTCGTAGGCCGTTGTCCGCCTTGTTCCCTGTGCAGAAGCACTAACTCCTTTTGCGTCCTCATTACTAACCGTTCGACCTCGCGTTCCGTCCTGCCTATCGAAGGAGGTTTGTCTCCTAAACCCACGATAAGAATGCAGTCGGCTTGCCGAACGCAGCGTTGAGTCCACAACGTGTACGTTGGATCGCATTGATACAACGAGATACGGTGTTGGTCCTCTTGCTGCGCGAGCCACGACGTCAAGCGGTATTCGTTCGCGGGTTCCATCGTAGTGCTACCTAATGTCTATTCGTCATAAAGGGAAATATATGCTTAGTATAATTTGATCGTTGGTGATTGAAAATTGAAAGACCGTTCGTCGGCAATAATTGCGTACCTTTCGCACGACGTCGGATGTAAGCCGTAAGCATGGCCCGATTGCACACAACGAATGATAAAGCTCATACGTGAATGCTGTCAGTGGGACATCGTCCGATACCGGGACTATCGCAACGGTCGAGAAGTTCACTTGAGCCGGTCGTGCGTCAACCGTCGCGGCAGCTCGTCTACGTAAAAAGAATTGTGCAATGTAAGTCGAACCGGGAGAAAACCGAAGAGAGCAGTCACATCGGCTGTTGATAAAATGTTTCAGTTCGCGTACTGTTTATCGTTACTGCTATTCTTCGTGTGCGCTTGCTGCCAGGTGCCGAGTATACGGTGTCCCAATAAATTAATAAGCCTCGTAACCACTATCGGGTACCGAAGTTTTATAACGTTAAACAGACCCTCGGGAAGCTTTGCTAGTTCGGAGTCGCGTACTGCCATGACCGTTGTCGACCGTGGTGTCTGCGTGACCATTTCCACGATTCCCACCAGATCGCCCTTCCCGTACTCCGCCACGAGTTCCTTCTTCCCGTTTTCATACGTGATCACGGACCGAAGTCGGCCGCTTAATACGATGAACGTCGAGTCTGACTCGTCCCCTTGTCGATACACTGCTCTTCCACTTTCGAGGAACAGCCAGTCGAGAGCAAAATCGACCTTGCGAGAAAAGTAGAATGATCCATCGGTACCGATCGGACAATAGGATGAACCGTCAAGTATCTATACCTGTCTCACGAAAGGACTCAGTCTTCGAACGACCGAATGCGCGACGTGCAACACGACGGTAGGCTGTTCGCACATGACAGCGAAAAATGTTGGCTTACTGAGAAGCGCTATACGACTAGAATGTTTCGCCCGAATGGTATAGAAAGAAGGTTCGCCGGTTAACACAGCTAGACCACCGACGATTTCACCTTGATGAGCGGTAAACATGTGAACTTCTTGCCCCGCGTCTCTACCTTCGGAAACGCGTTGACTGACTGACAACGAACCAGACACGACGTAGACGAGTGCGACATCCTGAAAGGAGCGTTAACGGGTACAAAGAAATTGGAAACTCTTACGAACGATGCCTACGAGTGTCAAAGAGATCCTCACCTTGTGGGACTCCTCTTTCATTAAATAAGTTCCGGCTGGTGCTTCTCTGATCTGAACTTTCCCATCCTTGAGTATCGAATCGTCTTCTAAGCCGAGCTCTCGGACGAATGCTTCCGTAGCGATCTGCACGAGCTGTACTTCGTCCAGCGGTTGCTGCACTGGTTCAACGGTGGTGATAGATCGTTTCTTAGCTGGTTGCGAATTTCCCGTGTGCACCACGTCCGGTTGCGATCCTTGCTGCGACCCTTGCTGCGGCGTCAAAGGCGAAGAATTTGTCCAATGAGAATCACATTCCGGTACCATGTCAGCTGCGTTTTGACCTGATTGCGGACTTAAGTTTTGATTTTTCCAATCAAGATTAGTTCTCGGCCTATCGTGAACCAAACGTTAATAAAAGCGTAGTTTTCATTGCAAGCCATTCCTCTGGGACTTACCGTCGACTTATGACGATCGGTACGCTCTGATGACTAGAAACCGAAGAATTATCACGGTAGGACGCTTCACCTGCGTCGTGATCCGATAAACCGGCTGCAGACGCATTGAACTGGTTCTCCGTGTTCTGCGTAGAAAAATTTTCTTTGGTTCTCGACCTGACTGGCGATCCAGAGAATGGACTCTGCTTCTTTTTGTGCGACCCTTGATTGACTAATTCGGCGGACAGTCCGAGATACTGATGCAGAGCAGTGAAAGTGACTCTTTGAAGACGGACCATAATGACCTGGATAACTCGAACGAACGCATCGGGATGATCTTGGAAAACCTGCAGAGATACACGAAGCGTGGTGTGTTAGGAACGAGAATTTATTTGTTTCGGTTCGGCGTAGAAGTCGCACCTCTTGAAAGGCCTTCATCGGTAATTTGACCACGATGGAATCTTCGACAGTTCTGGCAGACACTGTTTTGTAGGTACTTGTATGCCCAGTAAGTACATCCGTGAAGCTTAGAAGACTAGTTACCGATTCGCCGGTTTTCACTAATTTCAAGGATATCTGAGAGCCATCGGGTCCCGTGATGTAAACGTTGACCAAGCCTTGTTGCACAATGAACAAATTCTCGTCCGGGTCTCCGATCTTGAACAGAGTGCTCCCAGCTGGGAGGTTCACAATTTCGGTGTGCTTGCACAATTTTAGAAATACAGGTTTCTCAAAGTGGCCGAACACCCTGATGCTTTGTAACATGTACAGAGCATCGGGCGGTACTTTGTCTCCGGGGCGTAGGTCTTCTTCTAAGTATTCAGCAGGTGGTTCTAGAACCTGTTCGAGTGTCAATCGCAATCGTTACAAGGAAATGTGCTAACGAGCAAACGTAAAAAGAAGTGAATTAAAATCTGTATACTTTTAATTGCTGCGGCTGAGTCTCTTTCTTAAGTTGTAAGAGTCTTCGTGCAAATCTCATAACAGCCTTTCTTTTTTTTCCTTGCCCAGTTGCGTGTACTTGGCCACTGATCGACTTTACCTTGCGCAACATCTTTCTCCCGTAGAAGAGCACCTTGTCTCTTTTCCTGAATCTGGGCTTGCCCGTGCCTACTCCGACGAACTCTTTCACCTCTGGTAAAAATTCTTTGTTCTTCCATTTTCTTAATATAGCAATAGATACAATTAATAAAACGACGAGACTCGATATTATGATCGTAAATACGATCTTGGATATTTGGTATTGTTCAATTAATCTGCCAATGAATCTTGAGAAAATGTAAGAGCCCAATTTTTCATTACATTTATTAAACAACTCCACTACCTGTAAAGAACAGCAATAAATTAGCTCGATAGTAATTGTCATTGTTCGAGAATATTTGTTATATTCGATTTCATTGGCATGAATGAATTATCAATGAAAATTGGATTGTCCGTGTTTCGATCAAATTATATACAGAAATATGTAAGTATGCAATGAAACAAACCTCCATAGCGAGTATTCGTTCCTTCCATTAGCGTGTAATAAATTTGCTTAACGAAGATTCACATCAAAAGCTCACGAGCAATGGATGCTGGAAACACGATGTAAACGAATTGAAAAGATGTACTTGCTCGAATGCAAAAAGTTACTTGTCTACACTGAACTAATGACCTTTGATACTCCGCTCGAGTCATCCACCGCCATTTTAGTCGCACTCACAACTCAATTTTCAAGCTTGCAACTTGCGAATCAATTATCCTATGTATTTGCATTTGCACTTAAATTTGTATTTATACGTATGTAACATTTAACAGCGACAGTTTTAAATACTTGTTAGTATTTTAGCGACTGCCGAAGTTTATTTTAATACATGTTACTGCATACATATCTGCCTTTGCCAATTCGAATGTTCAATGATAATAATAATGTTCTGGATTTTGAGTGAAAATTTCGATACGAGCTACAAAATTATCATTTATAAAAATTATTTATTTATTAATCCGATTTCGAGCCAACGTCGTCTAAACGTAGTCACTGGGCGCAACTAGTCTTCGAAAATTCCCGCTAACTTTCTCGATGTGTTCTTCATTTTGAATGGACCAATAACAGAACGTTTCTCTACCCGTCATACATTCGTTCCATGAACGTTTGGTAGAATGCGCTGCGACAGAATTCTGGGGCGGTCTTTGATGGACAGTTGGGTCCGGCCAGTCAGTGGTTACGGGCCGACATGTTGGAGACGTTTCAGTGATTGTGCGCGGTGAGCCTGACGCGTGACTTTTCGTGCGTTTTTAATGCGTGTTCGAATTCTAAGAAGTGTCGTTGGATCGCAACGCTACATGTGAAGTGCGTCGAGTGGAATTAAGCCTGGTTGTGCCTGGTTTGCCCGGCCCAGCAAACATGAGCTGGGGTACAGAGCTCTGGGTAAGTCTACCCGAGTTCCTTTTCTTCCCTTACCTAGCCGCCTCTATCTCTTTCGGTCACTCGCGTTACCTACACACGTACTTAAACATATATAAATATACATATATTTTACACCGTAACGTTAGTGAGGCCGGGATTCGAACGGCATTGAATACCGACACGTTGTTTTCGCCAACGCGCAACGACGATATCCCCCAAAACCAGTTCACGGTGGCAAACCACTCACGGGAGTTTTGCCTTTGCGGTTGCTAGCCGCGGGCGACGTTCTTCTCTCCTTCGGTATATCCCCTCCTTCACCGCTATACCCAGCCCGGGTCCCTACGTACGTGTACTCGTACTCATCGCTGAGCTCCTTCGCTTCCTTTCTCATGAAATCTTCGATGGATACCTACCGGTGCGACGGTATGACAGTATGCGATTTGTCGTCCTGCCGCGATGCCAGCTTCTACAACTTGGCGTATCGACACGGGTGGACGTCCACTCGGGAGTCCCACGATATGACGAATCGCCACCGTGCTTATCGCGCGTGCAATCGCAGATTTCGTACAATATTCGACGACATGATTCTCGATAGTGTTACTCTTTCGAGTGCGAGATGGCCGGAGAGATCGTTCCTTCGCGTCTGCGTCTAACGGATAAAGGACGATGTACCTCCCTTTTAACCGAGAACGTAACGAATCCTTATTTATATCGGTATTCCGAATACACGTTCGAACTCTCTACGGAAGCCACGAACGTGGTTCAGGTAGCAGTGGTTCTTGCGAACTTGTACTGATTCCAGCAGATGTACCCGTTAACGGTCAAAATGCTTCGCCGCAATTTACCCGGATTTATCGAATGACGTACACATACGTCGCTCGTACGACAGTTAATTGGTCAAAGAATTTTCTACTTGCAAGTGCTCGCTCTGTATCGTTTGTACGATCTTGCGTGCTCACTATTTTCCCTCCGTGTTTCGCCAAAGAATTTACGCGCGTCTATGTCCGCAGTATGCATAGAATCGAGAATCGTGCCACTCGGGACCGTCATTTTCTTTACTTTCTGTTCTCTATAAATAATTCATTCGCGCATTCCGAGTCGTTCCTCTGTCCTCCCCTTACGATCTCTCTCGCGTCGCTGCGAGAGCGATGAATTTTTCTGTGCCCCGTCTTGGCTCGATGGTCAGCGAAAAGAATTCACACGTTCCACGTGTATGTGTCTCATGCTAGTTTCAATTTCTCGAACGATACTGATTAAAAAGGTGTTCCCAGCTTTACACCAGCAAGGTTACCACCGGTACTTTCTACCCCGGCCTTCCCGATACGAAAGCGTATTCGACTCGTATCTGTCGCCGTGTATTACGATTCATTGACGTTCTATTCGTATTCCCTCGTGAATCATGATACAGGACGCGTTCATGTTCAACCGCTAACGGCCCGCTCGTGAGCATATGTACACGTACGCGAGTACGGGCGTGCCTCGCCCTCGTGCTCTTGACAGAGAAAGGGAGAATACAAAGAATTTTACTCTGACAATTTTCAGTCGCAACGTAGCCCGTGTCCGTACAAGTGTGCATTTGCCTCGGTTCCAATAGAAAGCGAGATTCAGTGATCGCGAGATCAATTCATAGACAAAGGAGCGCCGATAGAACGCGCTCTGGAGACGGATACGTGTATTTTTTTCTGTTGATTCAACGATAAAACTTCATTGTCCAAGAAACTCGTCGACTCCGCGTATCCATTGGATCGTCAAACATTTGCTCCAGTTAAAAGCCAGTCCTTGGCGTTTACGTACGATTCAAAGATGACTAATCGATGCAGCCGTTTTTCATGCACACGATCGTGCATTAATTATAACGCTGTTGTTTCTTTGATCGGTTCAGAGTCAAAGCGTGTATTAATTCTTATCGGCCTCGTATACCGGAGAACAATTAACGTAGGTAATCGCATAACGTGAATTTATTACGTGAAACGCGATGTGCTTGCGCGTCGTGCTTGTACAGATGCACGAAAGCATTCTGTGGGCAACGAATCTTCAATAGTTATCACGAGAAGTGACGGTATCGGCTTGTTCGGGATCGCGCTGTCAGAACGTTAGATCCGGATCGGGTAAAAATACATACGGTCGAGTCCTAAATATTCGCGCCGCGCACGTTCCAGAAACGTTTTTAACTTAACGTATTAATTTCTTTCAATATTGAGAAAGTCATTCGTCGCTGTATGTATTCTTAGATAACACAGCATTTAATAATCCTCAATTATCTAAGAATCTTATACGTAATCCAGATTCGAAGAGGAATGAGAATATATTGGAATGCCTTTATCGTTTGATCGTCCACTTGTCAACAGTTATCGTTTGTCTTGCGAGTTAGAAGCGATGTCTGTAAAATTCTATGTACAAGAAGTCGATGAACTCCTTCGCTCTCCGCTAATATTTTGACAAACTTGCGGTAGGTGCAATCGGATGAGAAACGTGGGGTTCAGCTCTTCGGTTTTCATTTTTTTTTTTAATAGTACTGGCGGATGAAATAGATTGATAATCCAATCGCGTTGTACACCGGATTCGCGAATGAACGAGGCTGACGCGAGATTTGTCTCGTTCTCTTCCTGTTCACCTACGCGGGTCTCGGCATCGCGGAAAATGGAAGTAAAACGGCGTAGGCGGGAAAAATACGAAGGTTACGAGTACCCAGTAGCGACTTTCTCCAGTGCGACGAAATCAACAGCCGCTTTCCACTCGTTCGTAATTTGAATTGCAATCTTTCGCCTGGATGACGTAAGGAAACCGATTCGATTCTCTTTCCATTCACGATCTTCGTCCTTGGTTTCACGGGTCAACCCGAGTTTGTCGAATACACGAACACAATCATATATAGTAAACTCATTTTCTTCAACGATTATTCGTGCGCGTCACGTGCATTGTTTGTATTTTCTGCTCGTGTATGCATCGGACTCCGCGGTATGAAATTTTATACGGATATCGTGATCGATTCCACAGAAGAGTACCCGTGTCATTCTCGTTCTGTAACGAGTCGTCCTCCAGTGTCCCTTTCGTGAAGAATCGTGCGCCACTTTTCTTTTCTATTGTCATCCAGTGACATGAATTTTCCGTTACCTCTTATTGCTGACTAACGGATTGAAAACACCGTTTTCGTTTCCTTCAAATAAATAGGACATCGATGAGACAGGAGAAGCGTAGACGGTGCGACTTGAAGACTGCGCACTAAATTAGTAAAGGGTCTACGTTGTACTGATTGCAACAGTTTGATGCAAAATGATTTTCCACAATTTTTCTCAGAGACAACAAACGTCTTTCCTTCCATTTCGTTGGAAATCCTGCATAGACACGGTGGAAACGTCGTGAACACGACTATGACTTCTGTACGCTGGGCGATGATTTCATGGCTGGACATTCCTCGCTCGTGTCTCAGCCGGACAGTGAGGTCAGGTGCGTTCCTCCGTTGGTAGTCGGTGTGCCTAAAAAGGTACCAAACATCTCGGAGAGGCGACACAGGTAGGCGAAGACGGTTACCATGTATCGAGAATCGATAGCGACCGGCGAAAATGAACAGCGTGTTCGGCCGTTGCAAAGGGAAAGCCCTGTCGACGGAACATTCTCGGACGTGCAAGTGGCGCAAAAATTTTACAGACAATTTGTCGGGTAGATAACTAGCAAATGGAGCGTGCACCGATTAAAACCGTGGAACGGGAAACTTGGTCGATCTTTCACATCTGTTACTTCAATGCAAAAGTAATTTACTGTCTTCGACGTTTTCGCTATATTTACTAATAATAAATAGACTGCGGATTTTTATGCAGAATACATTAAGAATTATGTAAAATATTTTTGTACTTCGAGGATCGAAGTTACGTTGATCGTCGCAAAAGGGAATGATCCGGAGGTCTTACGATGAAGCGCGGGCTAGAAAGTTCTCAATGGAGTTACTCATAAGTGCGAACAGTGTGGCAGACGAGTGAAAGCTGAGATTTATCGAAACGGATGATTCAATTGAAATCGGCGCGCGCCCGCGCGAGGTTGAAAAAAAAAAGGAAACGTAACCTCCTGCTTGAACGAGTCTGCCGGATATCGGTCTTATCTGGCCCGCCTTCGTCGCACTTGCTCCTCCTTTCGTCGTCTTCTTTTAACAGGTAATTCCAACGCTGCGTTCCTCAACCGTTCCCCTCGTCAGGGTTTCAAGTGGGTTTCACGAATTCCGGGGCAAGACGTTTTATAATTAGGCTGTAGACGTTTTCGAACGTAACGAAATTTGAACACTGCGCATTCGAACGTCAGAAGCAATGTGCATGCTGTGATATTTAATGAGTAAGAATGAAACGTGGCTAGCGGCAGTATATGCACGCTACGATTGTTCTCTTTCGTAGTATTTACCAGCATCCAGCCCGTGCATAATAGACCGTAGTGATCACGCTACTAACGGCATGATGAATATATCGAAAGTAAATGGTTCGGGACGATAACGCTTGTATGAATTAACGTTGAAATGTCTGCTTGAAAACTGATATCTCGTTACGTAAAAAATAAAATTCCGTCGCGTATCATAGATAAGAATTTAGCCTTATTCTACGTTTACAGAATTATTGAAAAGATTAACCCTGTTGCTCGCCGATTGACTCGAAGCGGCGAAACGATTCGTATGTCTCACGATAGATCAGTATCTGATCGAAAGTGGAATTATCTCGAGAGGTGACGCGGCTCTGTCAACAAGAATTGAGCAATATCGAGGGGGCGATTGCAGATCGTAGATAGATAAGAAAACGTGAAGTCGCGAAGCGTTAAGGCGCAAAATCATTTGACGATGCCTCCTCGTGGTTTGCACTCGTGTCAGTTAAGGTTGTTGCGTGACCGAAAGTTTAAGATATCTAATAAAAAACTGCGTCTAATGTTTGAATCAGTGGACTTTTAGAAAAAATTATAATTACAGAGGAGTGAGGTTTATAAAATTGTTCGACCTGCTTTTCTCGGTCATAAGGAATTTTTAATGCATAATTTCTAATATTCAT